TCAACGACAAGGTGGATAATTATCTTCCAGGAACATCGAGGCTCAACCTGAACATCTGAAGTTTATCTGATGAAGCCTTAAGTCCACTAATATTTTCCCACAGGAAAATGTGTCAACACACACTTACCCTGCATGAACAGTTAGGAAGCCCCAGGCCAGTCCCTTACTCATAGAACTCCTCATAATTTGATTTTCTGCTGCTTGTGATAAAAATACACTGAACAGGGAGCTTGTTCCAGCATACAGGGAGCATTCCCAGACACAAAGCAGTTGGCTTTCTGTACTAATTGGTGAGGACAGGATTAATCTCATTTCATGAGCATTAGATACAGGGGTTTTAGTCATGAGCTACAGGCAATTCTGAGGAGGAGAGGCAAATGCCACCTCAGTTCTTGCAAAAAAAGTCACCATGGAAGAAGGCTGCTGCAGAAAACAAGCCACAGTGACAGGCAACACTGCTGCTGTGATTAAAAATAATACATTTTCCATCTGGGAGTAGGTGGAAAGCAGTGGATCTCAAAAGCTCCTTATACCAGAACAAGAAATATTATATAAGTAGTGCCAAGGAATAGAAAATATGGAGAATTCTGCCATAATGAGCTGGACTAGATGATGTCTAGAGGTCCCTTCCAACTCTTAATAATTCTGTGATTCTGTAATGGTATGACTGGAAAACAAGCCCCAAATTATTCCAGGATTTTGGCAGGGATGCTGCAGGAAGAACAGTCTAAGTGCATTAAGGAAAGACACTAAAAATTAGGTTTTTTTATTTTAGTAATGAAATAAGAAATTAAAACCCCTGTAACAACAGGACTTTCAGTTAACTAAAAGGGATTTCTGTATGAAGTGTAGAACTTGTTACTCCAGAAGATCATTAAGATTCATTAGCTTACCCAATTATCTGAATTTTGCTGTATTTAAAGCCACCAAGAGCCCTACCCCACTCATCAGCAAAATGCAAAGCTTTGTGATTGCAGATTTTGCATTTAAACCCTGATCAAGAAGATTATCTAACGCCTACAAAAGGAGATAAGATCAAGGGGCCTCACCCCATAACAGCCAAACCGGGTTAAAACCCGAATTAATAAAAAAAAAAAAAAAAAAAAAAAAAAAAAAAAAAAAAAATAAAAAAAAGATATTTGCTTGGAGGATCCAAAAGCAACACGGCCCAGCAAGCAGGACACGGGGATTTCGGCAGCAACTCAAGTTTCAGCCAAGGTGTTGCAATGCAGCAGGGAGTGCTCTGAACTTCTGCAGAGAAGGGGCTGTTTGTTTACCGAGCAGAGCCTGCTCCCCGAGCCAGGAGAAAAGGCCCAGCTCCTTGTTATCTAACGAGATTAGCGAGCGGCAGGTATCGAGCAAACCGATTACACACCCCGCGGAATAAATAAAATCTCTCCATCAAATCGGTGCGGGCTGTTACAGACACACCTCAGAGCGCCGCAGCTCACTTGGGCGCTGCTACACGACCTGCCGGCACCCGGGCTTGCAAAAGCAGCCGGGTGTGAAGCGCGGAGCCCCGGGCAGCCCGCCGGGAGCGCGGG